TAAAAATCGTAAATTAGGTTTTATATCCGACAGTTGCATTTACACTCCTGGTGTTTTATCTAATTTAGTTTTAAATTTGTTTTTGATGTATATGCATAAGGACAAATAAAACAAACATGAAAGCTAAAAGAACTGTTATAAACGTTGAAAATGATTACCAGGGAAACATATTTCTTTATTAAATATTTAGTTATTTTACTTTGATTTGAAAAGTACTATGAGAAATATTAATAAAATTTTTCATCAATGCAGGTTCTTTACAATATATATATTTAAGATATTGGCATAAGAAAATTAATATTTCTTAAACAAAAATTTTTTCTATTTTCTTTTTATTGGCATTTTACTTTAAATTGTTTCACAAAGTCGAATGAAAAATTCATTAAATAAAATATTATTAATTAGATCTAAATATAAATAAAGCTTCGAAAATCATTATTGTGAGGCAAAACAAGTCCTAACTCTCGGAACCTTTTATACCCTGCCGCAGAGACCTCAGGTTCCAAAGAGTACCACTTTGTATAGTATCCTTATATATATACTGTACTAAGTTTTACTTGTCAGACTTAAGTATACTGAGCTTCATGTGTACTATAATTATACTCTCTTGTTGAAAAGAATTGTCTAAATTTAAAAACAGACAACTTAAATCTTAAAATTACTAATTTTTCTTAAAAAATTGCTAATTTGATAAGATTTTTCAGTCTAGAGGATTATCAAATGGCTAATTAGCAATTTTTAAATTTGTTTATTAACCTAAACAAGTCTGTGTACGAGAACTTTTTAATAATTGAAAAAAAATTATGAAAGCTTTTTATATTTGCAAAACTACACTGATTAAAAAATCTGGTCAAAACTACCATAATATGGTAAAATTTACCGTGTTTCTGGCTTTATTGGAACACCGAATAGTGTGATAGCTTTTATCGAAGCTTTGGTGAAACTAACAATAAAATATTGTTCTGTAATGTGTGTTAAAATTCGATAATTTTATCATGACATTTTAGAGCAAGGAGTAAAATCTATTTATTCGGTTAAATTCACTTTTTAGTTTTGTATTTTTATTAAATGTGTGTTAATAAGTTCAATAATTTTTAAAACCAGAAATTCCGGTAAACGGTTACCATGCGAACAGAAATTGTTGCCACATGAATGATCTAGATACCGCATATATTTCCAGATTAATGTTATTTTTTATCAGAAATATCTGTACCATACAGTACGGTAACTTTTTCTGACTTTTTTTTCCATGTTCAGTTTTTCTACATATTGATATTTTGCTCCATTTTCATAATCGGCACTGATAATGATGACTAACGACGTACAAAACATAACTTAATAGTCATGAATAACTGCTACAAACTATTAACAGTTAAAAAAACAACACTTTACTCACTACAAAAGTTTACTTCATATGACGACCGACCCTTAGAACAGCAGTCGAAAATGGACATCACTGTTATAAAAATAAGAGGTTCGTGATAACTTGCCCTGATATGAAATTAAGAATTGAAGAAAATTGGGTGGAAGTTAGATATCTATGGCCATTTTCAAAAAGGATAAGATTTAATGAAGAAAACTGAAATTCGGAATTTTCATTTTTTAGGAAATATTATTCAAAGTATTGAAGAAACTGGTTAAAATATATTGCTCTTTTTACTCTTATTATTACTCTGAATTTTTCTCTTTTTTCCTGCAATTTCTCTTTAATCTAAAAATGCATTTGTAAAATATTATTCTTATTGAAAAAAACATTTTTTTCAATTTTTTAATCTTAAAAAGTTGAATAATTGAAAAGAAAAAAACAACAACAACGAAAGTGTAATTAAAACTAGAAGAATTCGAACCTTTTTAGAGTTTCGTAAGCTGTCATCATTAAATCAGTTTTTCTCATATTTTTAAACGCAGTAAGAGTCGCATTTATGGTAGACAGAGTTATATTTTTTGTGCAAAATAAATTTTAACCACAGAATGCTTGCGTTACCAACTCATTGCACTCGAGGTTCCTTTTGCGTTAAAAAAATGGAGGCAACCACTAAGAGTTTACAAGAAAAAACCCACTGCTTGCACAGTTAAAATGCAACATCTGGAAATCATTAAATAAAGTGGTTACTGAACATTAAAGTTCAAAAAGTATAACATTTAGGGTCGTAGATAATTTATGGAGCTAAAGAGGAGCCTTCGAGTGGAAAGGGTTAATTAATAGGGCGCAAGACACACTAAGAAAAAGAGTATGACCAAAACTACTAAAATATGGTAAATTTTACCGTGTTTTTGGCTCTTTGGGATACCGAAAAAGCTCGGTAATTTATATCGATGATTTTGGTAAAATGAAATATTTTCAATGGAATATAGTTTTAAATTATGGGATAAAATTTATTATTTTATCATGATACCTTAGATCATAACATTAAAATCATTTATTCAGTTAGATTTACTTTTCAGTTTTGTGTTTTTTTACGAAATGTGTGCAACAGTCCGTTGTGGACCAGGATGGTCATGAAGTCCACATTTTCCTGACCAACGGCATGATTGTGGCAATGTGGCTAGCACTACACTACGCGCTGGCTGCCTTTACTTTCCAGATAAGCTGGTATCTATCGATCCGATGATGGCTGGGCTTCAAGCTACCACTGGAGATGTGTGGTAAGATGAGTTATTATTTTAAAAACCAGAATTTCTGGTAAACTGTTACCATATGAATGGAAAAATTATCAAATGAAAAGTTTAAATACAATAAATTATTGTTTTCGTTACGAGAGTTAGGGATTATTTTTACTAGAAATATCCCTACAACACTATTTGGCCAAAAGTATCCTCACACCCATAAGTATGGAGAGTTCTGAGGCACACATTAATATGATGTTGGTCCCCCTTTTGCATCGATGACAGCCTTCACATGTCTGGGAAGACTTTCGACTAGTTTTTGATAGGTGGCCATAGAAATTGATTTCCAGGCTATCTTCACAAATTAAGTGAGTGCTTACAGTGCGTATGGTCGATTTAGCTGAATACGTAATCTCCTCTCTAATTCGTCCCAAAGGTGTTCTCTGGGATTTAGATTAAAGCTCTGAGAAGGCTATTTCAGTTTTTGAATCCCAATTTCGTCAAAGCACGTCGGTGCAAGCTTCGATGTGTGAATCTTGTTGAAAGAGAAATGCACCTTCCCCGAAATATTGCCATAGAGTTGGGAGGGCAGCATTGTCCAGAATGTCCATATACATCTCAGAGCTCATGTTTCCAACCGCAGGAACTAACGGATCCATGCCAAACCACGAGAAACAACCCCACATCATTATGCTTCCACTACCATAACAACCGGGTGTCCAGATATTTTTGGCCACGTAGTGTATATAGTACAATAATTTTAAGTGGATTTTTTGCTCCGTGCACAAACGAGTTAAAAGTTTTTTTTTTTTTTTTTTTTGTATCAGTAACATATTCTTATTAATGAAAGGAGAGATAAGGGAGTTAAGTATTCTATGTATTTTCACATTGATAAGAGATGAGAGTTTTTATGATTTACGTTTATTTTTTAGTTGAAATAATGAAAAGTATTTTTTATTTGAGTTATTAAAGACAGTACATTATTTAGCAAAAAATCGATGATATGTTAGTTCAATTCATAACTTTATACAAATTGGTATAGTATAACAGTTAGCTATTACACTATTTTGCCGACCGGCTTGTGTAGGGGGCAGGGAACAGTCCTTGCATCAGAAAGGTCCTGGGTTCGAATCCCGGCCAAGGCATAGATGCTTCTTTCTCTCTCTCTGTGTTCTATGTCCTTTCTCCTTTCTGTGTGAATGTGGGTGAATGTGACCCGCCCTATAAACGGGTTGTGGTTGTGTGAATGGCGTGGCAGAAGTCGAATTCTTGGTCATAGATGGCGGCACTGAAAAACAGGAACAATCCCACCCCCACTGTCTAAACAGGCATACGACAAAAAAAATACACTATTTAATATCTGCTTTAAGTTATTAAATTCAAACGTTTACATTAAGAGATTAAACACAGTTTTCATAAAAAAACTATCAAAAAGTGCTTTTTAGAAAAAATTAACTGCCTGAATATGGAGAAATTTACGTTGTTTCTGGCTCTATGAGAACACCAAAAGCAGCAGTTATTTTTACAGAAGCGCTTTGGTAATCATTTTGGTAAAACTGGCAATAAAATATTGCTTATAATAACTGTTAATGTAGTAAAATTTGGTAATTTTGTCATGATAGAGCATAACACAAAAAGGGTATGGCCAAAACTATCAGAATAGGGTAAAATTTACCTTGCTTCTGACTCTATGAGAACACAAAAAAACGCTGTGATTTTTGCCGAAGTGCTTTGGTAATGATTTTGGTAAAGGTAAAAATAAAATATGCTTTTATAAACAGTTATAAAATTTGATAAAAGTGGTAAATTATGGTAATTTTATCTTAAAATCTTAGAAGATGGTATAAAAACCATTTATTTGGTTACATTTAGTATTCAAGTTGGCAATTTTTACTAAATGTGTGGTAATACGAAGCATAACTTCTAAAACTAGATTTTCCGGTAAACCGTTACCATCTGAATGGTTTTAATACCATATACCAGAATTATTTTTTTTACCAGAAATGTCTTTACTAATTATACGGTAATTTTTCCAGATTTTTTTTCCTTCGTGAGGACGTTTTTTTTTGTTGACAATTTTGAATTTTACTTCATCATCAGGAAATTGAAACTGAAGAAGCAAATAACTAAAAATACATTTATTGGGTTTTAGATTAGATCAGCTGTTTTACAGTAAGGAAATATCTCGTACTTAATTTAGTAATATAAATTTCCGTTTTCCTATATTCAAAAGCATTTCCGAAAAAAAAGGTGTTAAAACGTGAATGCAAAATAAAACGATATTATCTCACACTAAATGAACACGAACTGAAGCGAAGTATTCAATTACTTGATAATCGCAGACGATACACGAAAATAATAAAGTTAAATTTCCTGATCATCGTTAAATTGCAGACAATTTCAGGTAAAATGAAATATTGTTTTGGAGTAAACATAACCGTTTATAAAGTCAACAGAACAATTTTCGAGCGTGTCCATTTGGACGTTCGTGCCAAACGAGAATTAATTCGGGTAGAACGATTTTTTTCTAAAAATATGTTCCTAGTTATAAAAAGGTTGAGACCCAATTTAGAGAAGTTATTTACCCACAAAATAAGTCCAGGAATCATTTTAAAGTTCATCATCATTGTGCCATCAGTTTTGGATTACAATGGCTCGGATATTTTGCAAGAATTTTATGTCAAAAGTAAGTCATAATTTAAACTAACAATATTATTAACGATCTAATTATTTAAATTAGTTTATCGTAATGCGTTTATTGCATTTTGGTTTGCTATATATTGATCAAAACATACTATTTATTTTTAAGAACAATGACATGATTTTAGATTTGTTTACGCTTGATTATTTTGTAGTTCAATTTTCTTCCTTGATTTTTAAAATCGTTAATTTAAATTAACATATTAAAGCACATTTAGTACTTTAGTTGCTTAATAATACCTAATAAATTTAAAATGAGCGTTTAAATATTAATGGCCAATTTCTTTTGTTTTTTAAAAAGACATTTTTAAAAACAAAATGACTAAGAATAACTTACATTAAAATTAAGTTAAAAAGATAATAAAAGTATGATTTAACGCTAATTTTCACTGTTTATAACTTTGATTTTTACTGCGAATGGAAATTGTTATTTCCATTAGCTGAACGACGAATTTCCCTTCTCAGTATTTCTCAGTGCAATTTTCTTTGGCACATCAATGTCTTCTTAATATTAAAGCAGTTTTATACGAAACTCAATTTTTAGAAAAACGGAAATGAGGAAAAAAAGTTTAAAGATGGCTACAAGGGGAAATAATGACACTGAAATATTTGTGGCTTCCTCTCATGCATAATGTGAGACTCAAGTGAAGTAATAAAGTTCTAAAATTTGCAAAACTAAAAAGAAAAAAGAAAAAGAAATCCAAAAATATTTTATTGTTTCTGTCTTAAATTGAAGATATATGTGTGTTTTTTGAAACAAATAAAAAATTCTCTTTACCTAAAATACTGAAAGAACTGAAGAATTGCTAAACATATAAAATGTTATGTTTTAAGATTTTTTTGGCTCCATCTACTGCTTAGAGATTAAACTAATATGTTAAAGATCAAAGATCTTAATCTAAATTCTTTGATAACAATACCCTTTTTTACTCACTCTAACCAGTTTATAGTTTTCTAATAATAATAATTGTTGTATAAATAAATAGTTGTATGGCACATTTCTTTTTTTATTTATATTTTTCTTCTTCTACTTATTAGAGTGCTGATTATCATTACACAGTATGATACATATTAATTATAAATATTAATATTTTCGATAATTTTTTGTGTCATTTATCAACAAAAAGATAATTGTAAAAATATTTTAAATCATCGTAAAATATTTCTATGAAATATGACAAACTTTTTTCGCATTTTACAGAATGGATAAATTTTCAGAAATATCATAGAGGCATTTTTGAATGCATGTAAAACTTATGATCCCCATAGCAGAATTTTTTCGGACTTTTTGCGACAAAACTCTCTAGCACTAACATCTTTCTACAAGATACTTTCAATAATAACAAAGATGTATGCTACCAATTTAAGGTAACAAAATCGCCGTGTTTACAAAAACAATAACATCTTTTTAATTGAATATGTAATATTTTTTTGATTCTAATATTATGGACGATATTCTCTCATTTTGTTGGGGGGGGGGAGCTCGAATTATATCCTTTATCACATTTTGCAAATCATCACATTGAGAAAATAATTTCATAACATGAAATCTGTTGCAGTAATTACTGAAAAACAGGTCGACGACGAAATCACGCAATTCGGACTCTTCAGAAAGGGGTTACTCAAATGCATGTTTTGTTTCAAGATAATGATTGTAGTAATAAATAATATCACATAAAAAATATCGGGTCTTAGAAATTATGCGGAAATCAAAAGCAATAACTGCCAAAAAAAATCAATAGAATAATTGCATTAAAAAGTAAATGATCAAATGCGCAATTCGAATTTCAGATATCGGCTGAAATATATCTAAAAGTCACGTGAAAATCAATGTCAATAACTGTCGAAAATACAATCAAAATGGATTTGCGATATCGGCATAAATTGAGAGCTTCAAAAAGTTCATTAAATGCGTGATTCAAATTTCTGCAGAATTTTTTTTTTTTTCTCCAAAAAAAAAAAAAGATCTTTCTGCAAGAACTCTGTACAGTTCTGCGCCAATGTCGCCATATCAGAGTCGAGTTTAAAAGAGATCTGGTAAACTGGATTTTTGAGTTTAAAGGAGATCTAAGTTAAAGGACATCTAGTGCTTAAAGGAGATCTGGATCTCCAAACAATCAAACTGGTTTTGATGTCTTTCATTCTGAATCCAGCAATGTTTGTTTCATTTTTGCGTGAATATTTGTTTGCGACCGGAATATTGAGAAAAAAAGTTTGGTCAAAACTATCTAAATATGGTACAATTTACCGAGCTTCTGCGTCTGTGGAATCACTAAAATTTCGATAATTTTTACTGAAGATCTTTGGCAATAATTTTGGTAAAATTAACAATAAAGTATGATTTTACAATCTGTGATAAAATTCGGTAATTTTATTATGATATCTTAGAGCATGGTATAAAAACTTTTTATTTGACTAAATTTATTTTTCTATTTTTTGCTAAATGTGCTGTAATAAGAACAAAAATTTTTAAAAATAGAATTTCGGTAAACCGTTACCATACTAACAGAGAAATTAACGCTAAAATACTAACGGATAAATGAATGGTTTAAATGTCGTATAATTTGGGTTTCTTAACCAAAATTACGGTTTTCTTTCTAGAAATGTCATTACTGAGCTGCACGGTTATTTTTTTTCAGAATTTTTTTCTCCATGTAGTGTAATTTTTTCATTTTTATTTAGATTCTAAAAGCATACATTACGAATAGAGATTAAGAAATACTTAGTATATTATCCTAGATTAATATGTAAGTATGAAAAAATACAAAACCTGGCAGAATCATACAGATATAATAACTAATCATCTGAAAAATGCTTTATCAGTTTCCTTAACCGATGCATAAAATCTTTTGTTGGTAATTTCGATAAAATTACCGTATTGTATGATAATGACATTACTGGTAGGAAATTATTGTTCCATGTGAATGTTCCAGGGTAAAAAAATCTAGTTAATAATACTAAAACATACGGTGCTTAAACCATTTATTTGCTAATTTTTCCGTTCAGATGGTAATGGTTTACCGGAAATTCTGGTTTTTTGAATTATAGTTTTTACTACAACAGAGTATAAGATACGAAACTAAAAAGCAAATTTAACCGAATAAATGCTTTCGAATAATGGTTCAAATTGCACCAAAATGCTTCAGTAAAAAATATCTAGCTTTTTGATGTTTTGGTGTTAAAAGTGATTTTGAACGAATAAAGGATTTTTATATCTTGCTCTAAGTTTTCATGATAAAATTTCCAAATTTTACCTCATTTAAAAAATTTACCACATGTCAGGAAAACCACATTTTATTGTCATATACCGATTATGTCACCGATGTTTCTGGTGTTCCCATAGAGCCAGTAAACATTATAAACGCGGTAAATATTACCTTATTCTAGTAGCTTTGGCCATATTTTTTTTTCTAAGTGATGAAAAAAGGATGAAAAAATATCAAGTTTATTAAAATTTGAATTTTTCACAAGGTCTTTTGCAGTAACTTCGTTATTTTGTAAATTTTGAGTTGAATTATAATTATCTAACGGTCTAACGCTATAACGCTATCGAACACATTTTTTTTATGGGAATGATCAATTTGTTTTGCTAATCCCTAGATATGTAACGACGTCTTACCATTTTATTGTATTACCTGAGGCTATTTGAACGATTAAAGCTGACTCTTCATTTTTGTTAAAGATAAAAAGAAAGAAAAATAAATCAATATCGATTTTTTGAAATTTTCATATATCAATCCTTTTTTCTTCTTTTTCATGACAAAAATCTTTAAATCTTTACGTAAAAGTAAGTTTTAAGTTTTTGTGCACTTCACTAAATTACTATTAGAAATTAAAAACTAAAAACACGTAATTTGTTTTTTGAAAATTAAATGAAATACTCTGAAGTCTGGGATTGCTTTAAAATTATGTTATTGATAAGATTTATGCCTTCTTTAATTTCTTATTACTGAAAGGATAAAATTTATTATTAAAGGCAGCGAGCAATTACTTTTTTTGCAGATATAAGTACTTTCATTTTTAAACTGTTTTGACCATTAAAAGTACAAAATAATTTATGTGGTAAGTTTTCTAGAAGTTTTTAAAAGTCCTTAATCTAGCAAAAAACATATTTTTGTTCCTTATAATTAAGGAAGAGTTATTGTAGTTTATCTGGAAGTAGGGATTTCTGAAAGATTTCCGTTAAAAGTTATTAATTTTTAAGGTTTCATAACCAATGCTTATGAATTATTTTAGAAACTACATACATCTTGACAAATTTCTAATGTTAAAATGTTTTAAGGTAATAGATATTTTTTATGCAACGTTTTCATTAAAATTAAGCTGAACTAAAAAGTTTTTAAAGCTCACAGTCATTTTGACAAACAATAATTCACAATTTTAAGTCATGTACATACGTTTTAATTAAATACTTTTTGCTAAATTAGAAATAAAACGCGTTATTAATGAAATCCTTTTTTTAATTTTAAGACGTTGATAAAATATATTTGGTACATATATGTTTAAAAAAAGATGATTGTATTAAATTAAGCTTTTGTTTTTCTTAGTTGTTTCCAGAATATGATTTGTGGGATTTTGAATATTGAATTGAATCATTATCTTCGAAACAGTATCTGATTTGTAGGCAAATCAGAATGAGAATTAATAACACTTGACATTTTAAAAATTACTTTTGGTATTTGTAATACCCGATGGGTTGTTAAAATAGAATGGAATTGATAGCCATCTTTTAATGCTATTTTTTTTATTTATAATAAACTTGATAGGTTGTTAAAACTAGATGAGAAATATTAACAATTGACTTTTTAAGTATTATTTTTACTATTTATAATACTTAAAGGGTTGTCAAAACAGGATGAGAATTAATAACAATTCACTTTAAAGGTTAAAGGTTATTTTTGTTATTTGTAGTACCTGATTTTCATGTAATATGATTATCGTAGTTGATTATCATGTAAAATATGATAATCAAATCCAGGTACGATTTTAATAATTTGAGGGATTACTCTTAAATGAGTTAAATAATTTGCGCAACTGACATTTTAGGTTAGGTATTCAGACACGGAAATATTCTTTCTCAAAGTAAACATTCGTCTTTTTTTTTTTCTTTTTTCCCCCGACTAATTTGCAATTTGAACATCTATGTATATGGGGGTAGCTTTAATCTTAAAATTATGAGTTTAGTCAGTCAAAAAAGCGCGGTTGGAAGTTTGTAGTGAAAGTAGATTATATATGCACACACTTTAAATTTAGCCAATATATTAAATGTGTTAGGAGTTGAGAATTAATGTATAAGCCAAAGAAAAATGCAAACACTTTTGAAACCTTCAAAATTATTAGTGAATGAATTTGGTGTTTGTAGTTCAAAATCGCCTTTCAAGTTCTCCCTAATTTCTCCTGCAATTAAATAGTTTCCAGTTTCTCTTTTCCCATTGATTTCTTTCCTAGTTCTTCAAAAGAAGCACATTAAGTTATGATTTTCAGGTGTTGAATTATTTTAGTTTTCTGGTCTAAAATGTCAGAATTTTTAGATCCTGAACTTTAGCCATATTTTTATTTAAATAGAAATATATTATAAGGTAGCCATTGACTTGGTAAAAGCCAACGGTTTTTGAATGTTTTAAAATTTTTCGAAAAAGTTTGACAATAATAGAAAGACCATGGACATTATATTTAATTATTATAAAGCTTATTTTGTTTTAGTAAGATTAAGATAGCTTACTCCACATATTTGCATTGTGAAAAAAAGTATGGTCAACACCACCAGAATATGGTAAAATTTACCGTGCTTCTGGCTCTACGAGAAAGGCAAAAAATTTTGGTAATGATTTTGAAAAAATTAACTATAAAATATGGTTTTATAATGCATACTTTTATAATATGTGGTATTATAATATATGGTTTTATAATATGAGGTTTTATAATATATGGTTATGTGATAAAATTTAACAACTGTGAAAATTTGGTAATTTTATCACGATACCTTGCAGCGTGGAATTAAAATCAATTGTTCGGCTAAATGTACCTTTTTAGTTTTGTATTTTTTATTAAATGTGTGGTAATGAAAACTATAATTTTGAAAATCGGAATTTCTGGTAAATCAGTATCACATAAACGAAAAAATTTTCAAATGAATGGTATAAATACCTTATGTTTTATTAACTACGGTTATTAATTATTAATCATTTTATTACTTTCTACGGAAGAAGCGTTTTAGAGGATGATTTAAGCGAAATATTTCACAGGTTTTTTTTAATAGTGAAACTATTTTTACAGTTACAGAGAAAGAATATCTTGTGGTTTTTCTTCGAAATAAAAGTCAATGAATTTTGGGGATGCTTGATTCACAAAAGTTAAAGAAATTCTGACAAACTGTATTTGAAACTTTTTATTTGTTTTATAAAAATTATAGATAATAAAAGTGATTGCATTCGGAAGTAAAAATCCTTATAAAAAAGCAATAAAATTTGTTCTAATCCTTTGAAACAATCTCGAAAGCCACTGAAGAGTTTTTCCTTTAAAAAAAATGATGAGTTCATTGTGTTTTGTAACGTTTTTTGAAATGTTTAAATAATCAAAAAATTATGTATATAAATATCATTGAGAATAAAAGGGTAATCACGTATAACTTTTTGTTAAAGGTGAACCAAAGCAAAAGAGTAATTCTCAATTTCTCCCTTAAAAAAAGTCATCAATACTACCAGAATATAGTAAAATTGATCGTGTTTCTAACTCAAAGCAAACATAAAAAAATCTGTAATTTTTATCAAAAAAGGGTAATGATTTTGGCAAATTAACAAAAGAATATATTTTTATAACACGTAATAAGATTTGGATAAGATAAGAGCATGGCATTAAAACCATTTATTCGTTTAAATTTACTTTACAGTCTTGTATTTGTTACTAGATGTGTGATAATAAAAACTAAAATTTGAGAACCAGAATTTCCGACAAATCGTTACCCTACTGCTACTCTGCTAGAAAGTTCTCGGAAAAAATGGTTAAATGGTAATTTATTTAATTGTTGCTACAAAACCGTATAGTTTTATGTTCTCAGTTTTTGACCATACCACTTGTAAACAATTTCAAAACCATAAAGGTAAATAAATGTTCCTTACCATAAACTTTATAATTAATCGGATGGACAGACTATTGCTGGTTATTTTACCGTAACTTCAGAATAAAAATTTAAAAAATGTGTAAACGGAAAAATAGCCAGACTGAATGGTTTAAAGACCGTTTTTTTAATACCAGAAATGACATTACTATACAGTACGGTAACTTACCAGAATTTTTTTTCTCCGGGAAATTTCTCTTCATCGAAAATTTTGCTTAGATAAAGGATGTCACTTTCCAACATGAACTCATCATGATATTTAGAGACAAGATCCCCAAATTCATTTTGTTTTCCTGAAGTGCGAAAATTCAAAAAGTAAACCAAAGTTAGGAGGGAATCATGGAATTTTAATAGGCAATGATATTTTCCATTACTTTTTTCAGTTTCACATGCAAAAAATTGTACGAAACTTATTGGTGAAAAAGAAGGAATATCAGGAGAGCAAATTATAGAAAAAAGAGAAAAAAAATCAAGAGTAAAAAGGAAAAAAAAAATCGCTTAAAGCTTTAATTATTTAAAAAACTAATCAAATGGAAAATATGAGCAGGAATTTTTTTCGGCATGTGAAAAAAATACCTAATGTGATTAAAATTTTCAAGATCTTGCCATAACTTATATTCTACAGTTACGACATAAGTTTCCATTTTAAATGGTAAAAATTATAGAAATTTCGTACATAGGGGTCAGCAGTTCTTGATGCACGCTTAGCTTTTTCGTGAGCGTGGTGTATCGTGTTTTTTAAACATAAATTTTAAAATTATAACAGGAATGATACAGTATAAAATAAGAATGTATTATTCAACATAATCAGTTCATAGAAGTAATTAAATAATTCAAACCAAAACTTTTTTTTACTGTAATTTATTTACTAAAGCTCGTATACCTTTATATATTTTTCATTTTTAAGGGGTTCATTTCAACTTGTTTCCTTGTCGTGGTTTACATTTCATCAGTCTCAGGAGATGGCCCAGCTCGTCCTATGCTGATATCCTTACCCATCAACGTTAGAGCATCTATGCCAGTTGGACCACCACCGTTTTACGACTTAGCAGAGAGTGCTGAAGAACAGCGACGAGACGAGAGAGTCATACATCGAGACAACGACTCACCAAACGACTATTTCTATCAAGACGACAACAACTTCAATTCAAGAACACAACCAGGTTTCCTGTCTTGGAACCCTGGATCCAAATTCATGATGCTTCAGCTCAACGACTACATTGGTGCTCGGGCCAATGAGCAAGAAGATCAGCCAGAGAACAACTCGGATGAATATGAGAAAACAGAAGATTCTCATTCCAGGAAACAGAGACGCTTGCCATCTGAACTGCTGTCGGATTTTCCAGGGTTTGAAGATTACAGAAGGCTGATGGGATCCAGGCGAAAACCGAGCTCATCCACGAAGAAATCCAAAGCATCTTCCTTAGCAACTGAAAGTAAACTTAGGTACGTGGATCAAAGCGGTGAAGAGGAGGGTGGAGAAGTTTACGGCGCCGAGCCAGTGATTCATTTCATAAAGGAAAGCAGAAAAAGAAAAAACGTTAGCAGCAAAATGTTTAACAACAATGATGATCAGGAAGAAAGTAACGGATTTAATATGAGGGGTTGGTGGGGTGACTATTAAATGACTTTGGAATGTTTGAATTCGTACCTGATTGACCTTCATTCTTTATTGTGAAAAAAACTGATTAAAAAAATTTTTGTGTGTTCACAAAATGAAATAAAAATGGAGGCGATATCCGCTGAAAACTACCACCCCATCTAAAATGAAAAGTTTCCTGAACAAAATTGCAGATTGCTAAGTCGCAACTTTCAGAAACGCGAACTGGACGCAACCACGATGACAAAATTTCGACAGATTAAAAAAAAAACGGATACTCAAATCATATTTATTATGATTAGGATTCGTATTTTTGTTGTTGATGGAATCACTTTTGCATCTTTAGATCCATGCCAGGGCAACAGAAATGAGCTTATTTGCTATGGTAAATAATAATAAAAAAGCACATACACATGAAAGAAAGCACAAAAGAGTTAATAAAAAAATGCACATTTAATTCAAAGTTTAAAGGTTGACAAGCGGGAGTGTTTGTTTTAAAGCAAGTTAAATCAGTCATAAAATCTAAGAAATATAATATATAACGGAAAAAGACAAAGGGTGCATAGAATTGCTATAAAATATTTTCAACATTAAGTAGAGAAAAAGTAAAAATTTTAGAAGTTTTTTAAAATTATCTACAAGTATTGGTAGATTATACCGAGCAATAGCCCCTAGCTTTGAAAAAAAAAACATCAGTGTTTTGAATACCGGGCAAATGTATATTGGACAACGGCTTAAATATGTATTAGGCAAGAGTATCCATTGTGAATAAAATGTTTCTCACCTATGTTTTTTCGCCAAAAAATAATGTAAATTGTTAAAGAAATTGATCTAAATTATTAAAAAAATACTAAATTATTAAACAAACTAATACTAATAATTATTAAAAAAATTAATAATGAATTATTTTTCGTAGATATGATTGGGGATGGATTTGTAATATTCGGTTTAGGCCTATTTGCGGTTTTGCCAAACGGCATCTTTTTTTTTTCTACCACGATTTCTGAAGGTGATCGCGAATAGTGTTGTTTTTGGCGTAGTCTAGCATATTTTAAAAATAAATTTTCCAGTTTTATCAACACCAAAGTTTATTCTTCATTTAAATTTTGTTTTGTATATCATTTGTTACATAAAGAGAAATTGAAAAACGCACAAATACCCATAGGATAATGTAACAATTGATAAAGATATTGTGTTATTAATTATATTCTGTAAAATGTTAGTTTCAAAACAGAAGTCGGAAATGTTTAAAACTATTTCTTGTTTCTGTATTTCAAATTGGAATAGTTTTTAAAAAATTATTTCTCTCTGTCCGGTAAGACTTTTTTTTCTCTCCAATTGGTAATATTTTTAAATCATCATAAAATTTTAAATTTGTAGTTTCAAAATCTTGATCAATTAATCAGTTGCTCATATATTGTTACATAGAGTATATTACATTGTATGTATATTTTATCTGATTTCATTTGAGTGTATATAGTTGTGTTATTATAAAATAGTGTTAGTTAGTTATGAATAGTTGTATTAAATAAAATTGATTTTTATACGAGGTCTCATTTTTATTTTAAATCTTACATTTGTATTGAAATATTACTTTTTAAACTCAAAATAAGACAGTGTGCGAAAGAAAACATGAAGCTCATGCATTGTTTGTTTACTCAAATTTTTCAAAAATCATTGTTCCAGAGTCAACTCAAAGCTTAATCACTGAAACACATGTATCTCTCAAGCATTAATTGTTTAATTGTTGCTCAATAGTAATTTAAAAAATATGCAACACTTAAGGGAGATGAATACCGTTTCCAGTTTGAGTTATTATGCAATCCATGGTTTACTATACACAATTGTTTTACTACACGCTATGAAAAATCTTCGTGTATCTACGCACCAAAAATAGTGGCAACTACTTTGCACCAAAGTGGTGTTTTACTAAGTGTTCCACTACACCAAAACCAAAGATGTAGTGTAGACCTGGTGTAGGGAAACGCCTAGAATGTTCTTTTACTATACTTGACGTAAACTAACAACCCCCATGTTATAGTACAGTAAGATATGCTACACATAAGAATCAGTAAAGTTATTTTTACGATACAATTTGAAGCAAGAATCATAAATTTGGGATGCATATATGCAATAATTCTTAAAGTAAAATTAGTTTGTTAATTAAACATATACGCTGCATAGACAGAATATCAATATGGATTCGAAAAAAACAGAAGAGAATGTAAGTAAATTATTAGAAAATTAGTTTACAAAATTGATAGAACTATGTAACTCTTATGAGAATATAAAAATCTTTGTTATTCAACTAAAAATATGCATGCATTTCATAGCAGTTTATATAAATAGCTTATCAAATCAATTCGACAAGAGGATGGAAATTATTTGGCAAATGATCGACCGGAATAATATTTCTTTTATCAATCAGTTTAAATTATTGAAACATGCTTGGTAATCAATAGGCTATGGCTAATTTATTGATTAAATTCGACTAGAAAAACTCATTTTTAACCAGTATACTTCATGTAAACAAACCGCCATTTTGTCAATATCTTAAAATTTGCACAATTAATCATTTTTAAACTTTTAATAATAGTCTAAAACCATTTGTTATACGCTTAAAACGTGCTCAACAACTACCATTTCTTATAAGAATTTAGTTAAATAGTCTAAATGTTATTAATTATTTGCCAAATTTTCGGAGCTCTGAAAAAACACAACCTTCTTCACCAACGAGATACAGATTGGTGTAAGTTTTATCATTTATGGGTCAGTTTTTATCATTTATAGCCATTTTAAGTGATTACGAACGCTCGATTTGATAATAACATGGAATAAAGTAATCATTCTCACAATTTTTTGTGTTTTTCAGGTAGGTATTACACCGCAGTTTTTTTCAGTGTAGCTTACAGATCCGTTGTCGCTGAGGGGATAGAGCGTTTGTTTTCTAAAGAGGTGTGATCCAAGTTTGAATACCAGCTGTCGCTGGTTGACACGAACTCGACTCACGGCTTGCGCCAACTTGCTGGCGTAAAATATTCTTAGTGGTATATGGATTACCGTTGCCGTTGGGCAGATCATGGAAGATTTTTTGTGGTTTTCCTCTCCAAGTAACGGAAATACGTGGTAGTTCCATCCAGTGCCGGAGGAAGACATTTAAGCGTCCCGGAACTCAAATTTGGAAAAGTTATCTTAAAAAGACCTTTTGAATTATCTCTCCAGTGTAGTCATAATGCTGTATAAATTGCTTTTTATATTTTAAATTAGAATATTACTACCAGAAAATTATAAAATCTAAATCAATCCAGAATTGCTGATTTAAGAAACACTTGATGAAAATAAATAACAATTAACGATTTCAAGGTTAAAAAAACCCGTCAGTTTAATGAATGAGAACATCACCTCAAGTATTCTAATATAAATATCGATTAAAAGTAATGTTTTTAATGAATGAAATTCAGAGCCGGATTATACCTTTCGTAGGCCCTAGGCATAACCGTTTTTGGGCCCTCCTTCCCCCACTCCTCCCCTCTTTTCAAAATGTATGCTAAAATTCACTTGCATATATTTTTAAACATTTTTATTAATATGGATTTTAATTTACAAATTTGTTTATCGAACATTTTTTATCTGCAATACCGACATACTGCCGATATTGCAGTTGATATCGATAATACCATTATGATTTGATAATACGTTATGAATTTTTACTATTTTCAAATTTGTATGAACATAAATCTGAACAAAAAAATGTTGAAGGCTCAAATTAAAGATAAACTTGAGAATATTTTTCCTAACGTTCACATTGCATTAAGAATATATTTGTCGATTCCTGGATCAAATGCAGAAGGAGAAAGATCTTTCTCCAGATTAAAATTGATAAAAAATTATTTGCGTTCAACAATGAATCAAGATCGTTTGGCATCGCTCGCACTTATGTCTATTGAATACGACATTTTGCGTAGTTTGGAATTCGACAGCATANTTTAATTAATGAGAATATCATTTCAAGTATTCCAATATAAATATCTATTAAAAGTAATGTTTTCAATGAATGAAATCTTTTGCGACATAGAGATATATAAACATTGTATGGAAATATATAAACATGAACATTAAAATGTATTTTTTCGATGATTTCAATGAGATAAAATTTTACAAACTCGCTTTCTTTAATCTAAGGACGTATAGCCAACGGTAAGGGAAAAACATAATAAATAAAAAAATTGGTAACTATTTTATTTTTATTAATTGAGCCGGTAGATGACTTTCAGTTATGGGCATGATTTTGTAGTTATGATCAATATCGATTTATTTACGAATTACTTTTTTCATCCTGCACTAAGAACGGGTAAAAAAATAAAATGTATTTTTTTTCTTGTGAGGGTTGAAGACACACAGAGGGTGTGCATAATAAAAATATTCACACATAAGAAGAATTATTCAAACTAAAATAAACGCTGACGAAGTTAAAGATTTTCTCTCGTATCGCCATCTACCAGAACTAAAGTAAACTAATTTTTGATTGCTTAAATACATATTGAAAAAAAGAAAATTAATAAAAGATTTATATTACAATAGACTACATAAAAAAAGAAACATATACACATAGTCAAATACACTGTACTAAATAAAGTAAAGTTTCTTACAGTTTTTCAAAATATACGATATTAAATTGAAATAATAATTGTTCAATATAAATAAATTCTATTCTGTTTAACTAAACTAAAAATATTTACAAGAAAACCCATCCGATTATCTATCAATATATATATATATATTGATAAAGCTATATCGCGTATATAATACCACGTGTAATTATGAATTAAATCCCGTAGATACATTCATAAATTAAATTACTTAGGATCTAAGTACATAAAGCAAAAGAGAAAAAAATCGAAAGATGTACGTCCGTTTCAGTATTGACGCAAATGCCATCAAGAGAAATAAGGCATAGAACGAAAAGGGAATATTATGAGAGTGGTTTACAGATGAGGCAGTTATTATCGGAACTTTGGCCAAGATCGGAACATACAGGGTGTCTAAAGAGTGGGGAAATGAAAAAATATATCGAAAAATATGCATTGGAGTATTTAAAATCTTTAATGAACCCCAATATTTTTGTTGCAGATTTTGATTCTCCAGAAAAAAAATACCCCAATTCGACTTGTAGGTTTTTGTAATGCAAATTTATCTTTATTATGAATTTTATTAAAGCAAATTAATATTAATTATTATTCTCATTAATTCAAATTTATATTATCTGTATTTTATTTCAAATTAAATCATTGGTATAATTTTTGAAACCGTTTGCACCAATATGAAAAGTTTCGTAAGTTATATAAACTTTT